TAAGGAAGAATTTCTTTACTGTCTGAGCCCCCAAGGTCTGGAATAGCCTGCCATCGGAGGTGGTTCAAGCACCTACATGGAACACCTTCAAGAGTAAATTGGATGTTTATCTTGCTGGGATCCTATGACCCCAGCTGACTTCCTGCCCTTTGGGCAGGGGGCTGGACTCGGTGATCTTCCGAGGTCCCTTCCAGCCCTAATGTCTATGAAATCTGTGAAGTCTAGGAATGCCTCTTTTTCAGGTTTGTGCCACGTGAACTCTTTCTTGGGGGTGTTTAAGCAATGGAACGTGATCTGTGTTTGGGTCTGCTACGATGTGCCAAGGGCTTTCTTAATGGAATCTCAGCACTAGTTGTAACACGGAGTGACCGTTGTAACTTTAGACATATTATTTTGTGAAACTATAAACCTTATACTAAAGTATCTAGATTTTTCTGCAGCAAAGTACAAACAAAATGTTTTTCAACATTTATAGTTTTTATAAGCATGCACATTCAGATGCTAAACACCATGGTGAAGAACAGAGCAAGGTTTTATGCTCAAATTCTAGCCAACCTGGTAATGCTATCCTTATTGCGGATAGTAGGTATATAATATCCCTGATGTTGTGCTAAGCCATACAGTAGGAAGACCAAAGGTAGAATTTCAGCATTGTTTTTCATGGATGCAGAAACTTACAAGCAGCAGGTGACTGTAATAGGATTAAATAAAAAGAAACAAAATCAAGATTTTGTCAATTTCTGTTTCTTCAGGTTGTATGAGATATGAAGATGTGGGCTTTGGCTTTTGATTTTTTTCCACTTTTTTATAATAGAAATATCCAGAAGGGCAACTCTGGCTTTCCATGGTTTTGCTGCAGCACAAGTTGGGTGATCAGCTCTCACCTTTTTCTTATTGAAATGGCTGGTACTGACAAACATAATGCTGTGGAGAAAGAGAGCCATTGAAGTTAAAGAAATAGATATTAACAAAACAACTCAAAAAAGCAGAGTTTGAAGACAACCCAGTTAAACAGTCCTTTTCCTCTGAGTTGCTTTGGTTTCAGTGTCTTTGACAGTTTGAAAACATGTAGAGTAGACAACAGCTAAATTTCTAATGCAAAAACCTCAGCATCTCTTTGTGCAGCATAAAAAAAAGAAAAAAAACACACACTGTTTTTTTCCTTTGTAACCTTTGCCTTAATTTATCTTTATTTTCAGGATGTAATATTTTTTCTTTTGAATTAGATCATGAACTGACTTGATGCACACACCAGTGTCATAAAGCGGACCTGGTATGTGAAAGCACATCTAAGTTCCAGGCTTTGAACTTTTGTAGGTTTTACATTAACCTGCATGACACAGTTCATTTTGACAAGATGGGATGAAATGTGGTCTTAATACACATGAATGTAATAGAATTATTACAATACAAAATTACTTTAAAATGTTAACCATTTTACTTTAAAGATTAAAAAGAGAAAAAGGGTCAAATTCAAGTTCACAATAAAAGGTGACAAAATCCATTATAAACAGGTAAAAGCATCTCACAGGCACTGCCCTTATGTGCCAGGTTTTAGGATGATTCAGGCTCTTAACGTGTGTGCATTTTACTGAAAATGCTGGAACTGAAGTGGCGCCGGGCTGGTGGTCACTGTCATTTCCTGAATTAACTGAAGGAAACCATGTGACCTATAGACAACCGCAGTCTGCAAAGCTTCTTTTTGAAAGGTATTGCTCTTGAGTTAGAATCCTGAGTTGCTCTCAGGTAGCAGTTTGGTTAAGTTTATGGAAACAAAGAAGTGTACTGTGGTGAGAATGAGAAACAAATGCAGCTCTGTGAACACTTGCATTTGTGCATTAGTTTCATAGATGCTCGACTTTCAAAAAAAAAAATCAGTTCAGACTTTGAAAAGTTGTCTTTTGATGTACTGGAAATTAAGGTTCTCTGTCTCTTGCAGTGTCTCCAGAACCCGTCAAGTGACATCAAATTAGTTGCAGAGAAGATGATCTGGTGGGCAAATAAAAAGCAAATGCCCTCACTGGATCCTCAGACAATTAAACCAATTCTCAAAGCACTTCTGGACAATACAAAGGACAAAAACACCAGTGTGAGGGCCTACAGCGACCAAGCCATAGTTAATCTCCTGAAGATGAGAGAGGGCGAGGAAGTACTTCAGGTATGAGGAAGAAATGCCTTATCTTGCTTTGCATGCTGATTACCCTCCAAATATCATGCTTTGCATGCTGATTACCCTCCAAATATCATGTCTTTGAATGTATCAGGAATCTCTTGCAGTATAAACTATTACAAATGGTGGGTCCTTGGATCTGCACATAATCCTTCATCCTCTGTCATTGTTTCTGGATCACACTCTAGTATTTTTGTGCTCAGCTATGTCAGGGCTCCACATGAGCCATAATATGGATTCCAAAAATGTAGCAAGCTGGTTTTGTACCTAAAAAGTAATGACCTGCAGAATGTTTTAAAGTCCTTGCCAAGGTGTGGTTGTTTATATCTAGGGTCACTAGTATATGAACACTTTGTTATAGCTGTGCTATAGATCCTGTTTTAGGAGGGATGAAATAGTCTTTTGCATGCCATTGGCCCGAGTACATTTCCAACTTTCAGCTATTTTTATTGAGTGCTTATGTCTGAATTTGTGGAACCAGCTGAAAGGCTGTGGTGTGTTTGAAAGTATGCAGGAGTTCTGTGTGTGTTTTGGCTGAAACAATTGTAGAGGACTTATCCAGGGGTGTTCTAGTCTGTTTGCCACAAATGATTTTAGTTAAAGCTAATACAAAGTTGAGATTTCCAAAGCAGGTTTAATTTCAGTCTGTAAACCTGAATCTATAACTGTTGTTTGATTCACAATTTAATTTCATTCATTAGATTTGTTGAGAGAGAGAATGATAAAGAAGTTCCTTGATATAGCTGTAGATGTGTGCAAATCAATCCAGTGCTTCTTTGTTATGATCTTGCATTATACTGATTTTATCCTTGCTTTTTTTGCCATGGCATAGCATAAGGAGTTATTGTAATTGCTGTTATTCTTGTTCATATTTCCACAGTCTGTCTCTAAGATCCTAGATGCTGCCAGTTTGGATCTGCTGAATGAAAGCTGCAGAAGATCTCTGAAGAAGCTTGCCAGCCAGTCTGACTCGGACGAACAGATAGATGACACCATACTGACGTGATAATTCTGATCCAGAAGAAAGAAAACTTTGAACCCAACCGCTGCATCAGCATTTCAACTAAAAAAACAATGTTAAATGTTTTCATTTTTGAAAATATGTTAATTCTGGTGGGGGCTTGCAAAAAGGACTCCCAGAGAGTATTTTAATATCAAAAATATACCAGAATAGCCTTAATTAGACCCATTAGTTGAATATTGAAAATTCGGTCCCCTTTTTGAGATGGAGAATGTGTAAGAGAAAGTCACGCCAATCAGTACTGAATAATTAAGGCTGATTGTAAGATATGACAAGGCATCAGGCTTAAAACTCTGGTGAAATCACTTTCTTTATCAGGGTCTACTTAAAAGCTTCAGTAAATGGAGCTCTCCCTTTTCCACAGACTCTGTGCAATGGGAATAGGCCTCTGTGAAAGTTTAAAAGCTATTGTTTTTGTGTACTGCTACCTTGCTGCTTGTGACAGTTCTGAAGGCTGAAAATCCCCGTAAAACAAATTATTTAAAATAGCCTTAGAAATTGAAAATGCAGAGGGGGGAATTAAATGCAGGCTGTTTAAAGAAGAAACACTTAATAAAGGCTTTGGATTTAATCCCACCGGTGAAAGCATTTTTCTTTCTATAAAACCATATTTTCAAGAGGATTAGGCCATCTTGAACCAGGTATATTAGAAAAGGTTTCTTATATTGCATTTACTTTTTAGATGCATTTTTCTCAAGAGACTGGTTCTAGAGTAGACAGCATTGTAATAAACAAGAGAGATTTCCAGTATTGAAACAAGCTAGGGGTTTGCAAGCCAGACAAGACTAAACACTTAACAAAATTGACAAAAATGGATTCCAGTTCAGGAATTATATGATCTCATTCCAGGAATGTGAATGACCACTGGCATCTTTTCTGTTGCCCATCTGTTGGACATAACAGGCCTTCATTTTTTGTGACCTCAGCTACTTGATAGTCCATTCAAATTAACATGTAGGCTTGCCCAGAAGTTATGTCATTGAACACTAAGGGTGTTATTTATCAGGCAAAATCCACCTCAAAGTTTACATTTTACTAATACTGTTTACACAAAGTATGGGGGGTGGGGAGGGAGCAAAAGGCACAGAAATGTGTCTTATACATTTATGTGACCATAAAATGTAGAGCAAGTTGTCCAATGGGGTTATAAATGCTGATATTTAGTAGCTACCATGGTAACAGAAGTGAACAGGAAAAGGGTTTTGATGGATCTTAGTAATATCAACACACAAAAAGTTCACCAGAAATTAAAAATAAATGCTAAAATATACCCATAGGGTAGCTTCTGGTCAAAAGTTTATTGTTTTAAGAATCTGTGGAAAGGACCTTGCTCTTCCCTAAAACCTCCATAATATGATTTTGGACCAGCAGGATGATAGAGCTGCTGTGTGTAACGATCTGATTCACCTATAATGATTTATTTTATGCCAAGTCTCTCTTCTGTTTTGGTTAAAAAAAAAAAATTAGTAAAGTACATATTCCAAGTCATGGCCATGACTAGATGATAATACAGTCATCAAAGAGTAAAAAAGGGGCCTAAGTGGAATACATGGTCTTGAACAGGTTTGATGCATTAGGGTAGTTTTACCCATAATGCATGAGCTGCATTTTGTTATAAAATATTTAAATAAGGAAAACAAGAAAGATACAAATATCTTATGTACTGAAACAAATGTACCCAAAGTTAATACAAGTAAAAAAGGTAAAACGGGCAGCAAAATGTTCAATGGATATATTCAGGAGTGTACTTGGGACTTTGATCCGGAAAGCTTGCAGAAAAGGACATTTTTCTTGCCATTTTCCAGTTGGTCTAATAAAAGGTATCATTTTGGAACCAAGAGTTCTAGTTTTGTGTATATCAATGGATATATTGAAATTATGATTCTTTTATTATAGCAGATAGGTAGGAAAGGGTACAGAATGCAACAGATCTCTTTAAGAAGGGTTGTTCATTTCAGTAATTAAAGGCACTGGTCTTGTGGACACATGCGTGCTCTCTCTCTCTCTGGATCCTAAAGTAGTTTCCACTTACAAAAAGCAGTGTTAAGATAACATTTTTTTTAAAGTTCCACTGTTAGTATGTGATCATATATGGGTATTTTAACATTCTTGTTAGGTTGAAGATTATAAATTAAGTGCTTAGAGCAGTGGTGCTCAGCCACACACAGGTTGTGTCATCCTGTCTGCAGTGCTCCCCATGGGTCCAAAAATTTGGTGGGGGAATGGTGGCGGTCATGACTTCCAGGGCCATGGCAATTAACACTACCACTGCTCCCCCACCTCCAATGTTCCAGACCCACGGGGAGCCCTGTGGACTGGATGACCATGCTGACATGTGGGTTCATTCTATGACTCCATCTGGTGTGTGGGGTCGCATCCATGGACTATCCATGGACTGACCCTGTGCACCGACTCAATGCTGGATCTGATCTGTGCCACTCATTGGGTCCATGGGGCTGGAAGTTTGAGTACCGGTGGCTTAAAGACACTTACACATGGTTTTCACCTTGAATAGCATCAAGTGAAAAATTCAGGTTCTAATTTAAAGCAATTTGGTTGACAGTTTGACTTTAAAACTAACATGACAAATTGTTTCAGTCTCCTTTTGGAAAGAAGGTAGTCATTCCTTTGTGCTAATTTTCAATATTTAACTATACAGAAATCTAAACTTGGCTGTTGTGATTTCAATTTCAATGTTTCTGATTTATCAAAATATTTACACACTAATATATAATAACTCTGATGAGTGGGTAGCTTCTGTGTGAACTTGAGAGAGAGCATTTTTTTTTCATGTTAGATGTCTTCCAAATAAGCCTTCAGTAGAAGAAAGACATTTTATGCCACTGACTAAACTAAGCTTTGAATTGTCAAGTTATTATCAATGAGTGGCAGTTGAACTGCATGTAGATCAGAAGGAAATTTGTTGGAGAAATGTTCAAACTTGAAAGACTTTTTCCAATTTAAATGAAAGAGAGGAAATTCAGATGAAAGTAGGAAACATCAAATATTTGGATCTCTAGATAATCTTGTTTTATGAAACCGATACTACTTCTTAAACTTACTATTGTGAAGTGTTCATGTTGCAGGAAAATCACTAACTGATTTCAAACATTCATTTAAAATTATGAGAGTCTCATGAGATTTTTAAGAAGAAAGGGGGAGCCTTATTTCTTATTTTGGGTTTTTTTGCACCTTTAGGGTGTATGCACACTGATCATGTCTTCATCTTTTCTCTATAACTGGGCACATATACACATGCACTTTAATGCACTTCAGTCTATTTTAATGCATATTAAAGCATCATGTAAAAGACCCTGCTTTTTACTAATGCTTATTAAAATAGGCTAATACACAGTAAGCATCACGTAAAAAAGCATGTTCTTTAGTTGATGTGCGTTACACTAGGCTAATGTGCTTTTTTCCAGTACAGCAAAAGCTCTGTTGTTGGGCATCCATAGGGAATGGGGGGTACTGGATAACCAAATATGCCGGTTACCTGAGAGGCCCAAACAGGCATCTTTCCCTTTTTGGGCTGCCACCCCCCCCATCACATCCAGTGTGCTGCTGCCCCTCCCTGGCATTAGTGTGCTGGGGGACAGGGAGGGGGGCCCTGCACAGGATGCTTTGCCCTGGGCCGTGGAGGCTCAGCAAAACCGGAAATGCCATGGTAGGCACTTCTGGTTTCGCTTTTGCAATGTCAACCAGCATGCTGGTTTCTAAGGTGCTGGATAACGTGGCTTTTGCTGTACCTCACAATGGAAGGCAGTCTTACATGTGCTCCAGTGTTTGTGGGGTGGTGCTTTAATTAGAGCAGCTCCGAGAGCCACTCTAATTAGTGTTGCTGCATCTTGTGTACCAGTGTCTCTGCACTTAAAAATGGTGGCAGGGGTGCTTGAACTAAAGCTCATTTGACGAGCTTTGGATATAGTGCCCCCGCTACCATTTTTAAGCATGGGGTGCTGATACGTGAGGCCCAGGAGGCTGCTGGAGTGCAACAATTGCTATGCTCCAGCAGACTTGATTAATTGAGTCTGCTGCAATGTACTGGAATTTCTGGGCGTTGGAGCAGCCTCCATGCTCATGTATAGGCACCCAAAGCCACTATAATGCACATTAACTAAAGCGCATTAATGGATGTGTAGATGCACCCAGTGAAGGCTAAAACATAAAACAATTGCAAGACTTACAATCAAAATCATAAATAGCGGCCACACTGCTGAATGGGGATGTGGGAGGGTGGGGTATACGTGGAGTGAGAGACACTTCTTTTACACATTTTATAAGCCAAAAATCATCAGCACACAGCTGCCTGTGATAGCACCCCACTAGCCTTTTCCAGTCTAACCAGTATATAAATTGTCCTGTGTAAATTGTAAGGAAATAATTCCAAAGATGATTAAAGATGCAAGAGATGTTACTTGTGAAAGCAACAAGATCCCAATCCTTCCCGACCTTAATCCCATCATATGCAGGCTTGATAAAAGGAATTGTTCCATGCCAAGTGAACCTGTGGAGAAATAGGAATGGAAACACCTATTTCCCATAAATATCTGTCATTCATAGAGAAGAGACTATTAATCTGATTTATATAGGTGCTGTTCCAGTGACAAATTATTCTATTGAGGTCCTCAGAGCTTGATGTATTTTAATCCTTCAGTGTCTGTGAAGCAGAAGACTGATTCAGCTATATTTTATTTCTCACACATTATAAAGGGTCACAGCATTTTTTCAGTTTCATTCTACTTGTCTGCCAGGTTTTCCACCTTCTGCCAGCCTGTAGATAGCGACAATCTGGCAAGTAATGTTATTTTTCAGAGCTAATTATTTCAATTTTAAAATTAATGCGTATTAATAATGTACCTGAGCTGATAAATTATAACCATATGCTTAAATTAAGAAATGAGCTGCTTAGCTTATTGAAAGAATTGTGTCAATATTTTGGCTCAAGTAACTACAAAAAAAATTGGCAAGACTGCAATTTTGTCAAGTACCTAGAACACCGGTTGTAAGAGTTTCTTTGCCTCCTGTAGTGTCTTTTCAGCATGTACTTACAAATCAATAATTGGTGGGGGAAAAACCTTTACAAACAGCATATGCTAAATTTAAAACAGGCTTCCAGGACTACTTTTTAACTGTAGATCCTGCAGGCCCTAGTTCAATCAGACTGATCAGGGTGTGCAGAGTCTCAGTTTGCAACTCTAACGTGATACACCTGTGTTAACAAGGTTCTTTGGGTGAATCTGTTATCTTTTATTAGGCCAACTTAAATACTTGGATTTTTTTCCAACCAGATTCACCCAAAGAACCTTGTCTGCCTACATCCTTAGACCAACAAGGCTACAACATACACCCCTGTAACAAGTGTGCATAGGCATCTCAGCTGCCGTAGCGGGCAGTGTTGGAGCAGTAGTTGTGAGCTTCTCTTATAAAGGTGGCACTGGCTCTAGGATGTATAAAACTGTCATGTCCACAGCGATGGACCTTGTGTTTAAAACTGAGGGGATCCACGTACAGATTGCAACTGATGGGAAAGCAAGGTGGGTGCAGACATGGTGGCAGCGCTGTGCAGAGGACGGCCCCTGAGCCGCGCGTGGCTGCACCCTGGCATTGGGAATGACCGCTAACCCCAGCTCTGGCTGTTTGTGACACCTCTCGGGAGCCTCGGGGGTCTGGGCACCGGCCGGGGTCGGTGCGGCCTGCCCTCGTGGCAGCAATGCCGACCTAGCAGGCAGCCGGGCAGCTGCAGGGCTCGTTCACAGGACAAGCGGGTTGGACGGGCCTTGGGGCAGTCCCTGCCGCAACCATCTCATCCTAACGTTTTCCCAACCGGCGCCTAACAACGTCCGGGGGCGCCTTCACACCGTCTCCGGCGCGTCCCCACGTTGCAGCTCAGCTTCTTCCTCGTCGGCGCCGCCCTGGGCCCCGTCCCGGGCCTGCCCCTCCCCCCGCCAGGTGCGGGAAGGGCGCCACGCCCCGCGAGGAGCCCCGCGCCCGCATTGCG